TCCATGATTGACAGATTCTCTTCAAATGTGGGGCTGTCTGATCAGCGCCCCCAGAACAGAGACTGTCAGTGGAAATCCACAAATTAATGACAGTAGATAGGGAAATGTAGTTTATATAATTTGTTTTGCTTATAGGTACACAGTCTAGAGAGTAAAACTGACATTTATGAGTTAATTTCTAAAAATATATTTTACGTTTCTCTCTTCTTATTGGGGAGGGCGGTGCCCCAGCGCCCCCTATGGGCCGGCCGCCACTGCTAAGTGGGTTGAAAGAGAAACACACAGCAGCGCTCACTGAATATTAACCAGCAGTTACTTTCATGTTTAAGTAAAAATAAAAAAAAATTAGAGATGCCTCTGAAAAATCAGTTCATATAGACATATAGAGCTTTTCCGCAAAAACGGCCAAAGATTGTAAGTTTATACAAGAAATTATTATAATGCAAGAAGCTTGAGAAAATATAGTTTAAATGTTGTGTTCTTCTTCACTATAAAAGCTTGGCTTCTCAGTTACAGGTTAAAATTTACATGTTTTCTTATTGAACAGACAGAATCAGACTGCAGAGCTTCTACATAACTTGAAATTTAATTATTATATTAGTAAAGAGGTTCAACAATCTTTTTAAACAGAGCACATAAAGAAGTAGGGACAGCTGCAGATTTAAAGGTGAAACAGATTTACTAGGATGTGCAACATGCAATAAAGTATATTTCCAATTTTACCATTTATGTTTATACATTAATGCACTGAAAGGCATCTAACTACCTATAAATATAAATAGCAGTGTGTTATGGTTCTCTGGTGTTCTCAACAATAAGAAAGCTTTCAATGAATTTATGTTTTAGCTCATTTTTGGAAAATACAAAAAACCTAATGAAAGGGTTCCGGTCGAGTAACAGTAGGTCCATCAGCCGCCACCCTTTCCTCTACAAATTTCATCACAAATTTACACCTTTGGTATGTTGGTTCACTGTTCACGAGCAATTAAATTTCATTTGTCAGGGACAGTTTGTTTTTTACAATTTATACAAAAAAACACCTCAAAATCAATACTTTATTTTACTAAATTATCATTTAGTAAACATTTGTTTATTATTACCTTTTCAATTTTCAAGCACAGCTGTATATCCATCCATCTTCTCTCGCTTATTCCGTTCGGGTCACAGTGGGGCGGGGGCTATCTACGGCAGTTGGGGTAAACCCTGGACTGGTCGCCAGTGTATTGCAGGGACATAGACATACAAGCATACACACACACACACACACACCCACACACACACACACACACACACACACACAATTAAGTCATCCCAATTAACTTAATTGTCATGTTTTGGGGCTGCGGGAGGAAGCTGGAGTACCCGGGGAGAACTTATGCGTGCACAGGGAGAACATGCAAACTCTATGCATAAAGATGGGATTCAAACCCGGAATCCTCTTGTTGCAAGGCAACAGTGCTACAAACTGCACGCCTGTGCAGTCCACGCAGGTGTTTTTATAATCATATTCTCAGAAGTAGCCACACCCCTTGATCCTTTCCATATTTGGTAACATTAGGTTACAATCCACCTGATTCAAAGTATTTGAACTTCAAACCTTCATGTTACATCAAGAAAAAGTACATCCTGGTAAAAGATGTTGAAATGTATATTAAAAGACTTAAGGAAAGCAAAGACTTTTGAAAGTTTCCCATCTTTATAAATTTGTTTTTGTTGGAGCACTGTAGGTTAAATGTCATGTTTTTCTATTTGTCCTTCCTGTCCTTATCTATCTAGTGACATTTTGGGTCAGCGAGAGTTTGTGCTTGATGACTTCCCATGCGGGTAAAAAACAGTTTCCATCTGTCTCTGCAGGTGCGAAGGCTATCTGAAGCGCGTGTCGTGTTTTTACCGCTGCTCCCCTGACGCCTCCCGCTGGCCTCATCCTCACCGCCGCTCATACATCCAGGCGGTGCCACTCTGCCACAGCTTCTGCCGCGACTGGTAAGGCTGCCAAACACAAAATGGAAACTCAGTACCTGTCCTCCTCTCACTTAAACCTCCACAAGGGAAAGGTGGCAGTTTTGTTGAAAAAACAGTGTTCAGTACAGGGGAGAGTGCCCTATAAATAAAATCTGAAATTTCTTGGCTCAGAAGAGAAACAAGGAGCTGGGGGTTGATTCTTATTGTTCTTTTTGTGGATGGAAATAGGAGATAATCCTTCGAATATTAGACAAAGCAAAATACAGCAAACACAGAAAGAGGATTTGAAGAGGCTGAGACAAGTCATTTGAGAGCTCGTAAAGAAAAACATTTAAAAACTTCCCACTGAACTCAGAATTTTAATCTGCTTTCATGCTTTGGGAATTTGTTCTGAAAGGCTTTAAGCTGCATCTGAATAAACATTTGGACATCAAACATGCTTGCTGTTTTTTCCAAGACCAAAATGAGAGAAACAATATCCTATTTGTGCAGATTATTTGAAGAGACAAATCCGCAGTCTGACTGCAGATCATGTGGTCTAAAGCGCAAAATGGACAAGAGCTGCATTTTCTACATCCTAATAGGTGCCATGTTAAAGACAATGCAATTTGCTGACACAGAATTTTGTCAGATATGGAGCCATCCAGGCTTCGGTTGTTCAGTTATATAGGGTTGGGTTGTGGGTTTGAGCTAGCATACTGGGTTAGCATTTCTATCCATAAACCAGGCTAAAGTGACACCGATGTTTCTATAGAAACGCCTTTCACAGGTTCTGTAGATGTAAAGCAACCAACCCTCCTTCAGAGGCCTCAGTCCTGTCCATTGACCTTTGCCACCTGTCCCAAATTCCTGTCACAATATGGTCAACGACTAGTTCCCAACAGGGAAATTGGATAAAAAAAAAAAAACTATTTGAACTTGAAATTAATTATTTTATCAGTTTGTTAAGCCATATATACATTCTCACAATTTCCATAAAGGCTTTAAATTCACCAATAGTTGACACTGAGTAACAAACTTTACATTTATTATAAAAAGCTATTTTAAATATTTACTTTCTCTATTATTTGTTTGACTATTTAGTTGTTCAGAATATGAATAATAAACAAAAGTTGGGAATGTTACTTTAAAAAGGTTACTTAGTTACTACATACTTCTCTAAAAAAAGTAACTGGGTAAGAGCTTAGTTACTGCACAATCAAGTAACTAGTTACCTTTTATGATCTTAGATGTCAAACAATTTAATACATTCACTGTTATCAGAGCTTCAAATATGACTGAAGGTTCAATTATGAAATATAAGAAGCTTTTATAATAATTAATACATGAAATTGTTAATTAAAAGGACCACTTCAGAAAACATTGGAAGAGCGGCAACATAATTATGTAGAAATTAGATTTAGGATTAAGTTTTTGTTTATAATAAAAGAACAACAAAGCAAATTAGATGTCTTAGAGTTAGTTTTTGCAGACTGACAGTCTTCAACTTTATATTTAAAAAGGTATGATGGTGTAAAATACTGCTTTTAAAGGAAATAAACAAAAATGAAATATAAATTGCAATAAAATTAAACAAGGGTTACACTAGCCCCCCAAAAATTATATCAGAACCTCATAATCACTGAGTCTGAAAAAAAAAAAAAACGCTACATCATTGAAGTGAAAAAGTAAAGAACATGTATTGATAAAGACAACCAGCTGTCAGTTAAGATTTGTAGCTTCTTAATATTAGAAATGCTTTCTATTGACATACATTAAGTATTTTTCCTGCAAATAATGAGCAAATCACAGAAATATTTAGCCTTTGACTTCAGCGAGCATTTTTGTTCAGGAAAGCAGTCATTCAGTTACCTATTGAGTTACCATCATTTGAAAAGTAGTTATTAATTAGAATACATTTTAATGAAGAGATAATGCTGTTACTTGCACCATTATTAAAGGTATTGTGGAGGATTTTCGTGAGTTTTTTAAAAGACCCGCCCTCTCAAAAAAAGTCCATGTCATGCAAGAGCATGCACAAGCCATTTCTCCTCGTGCACGCTCTGTTTAAAAGTTGCTGTTCTCATAGCTCATACAAGCTTACTGTGCCCAAACGTCCGCCCTAACCCCTAAATCTCTCCATTACTATATAGAGTGAGGACTATATAGTGGATGATCACTGATTTTTGCTCCGTTAGTCACGTCATTCCTCCACCGCGCGGTGCCTGCGCCATCTTTGCTGTTACTGTAGTCGCTGCTGTCGGGTAACGACAGCCCATGGAGACAGCAGGCCGCTGTGACAGCAAATCCCATAGTGCTTTTTGAGCAGAGCTCTCTGCGCAAAGCATTCTGGGATATATCTGCCTCTACTGAGGCCTTTCTTTTCTTCTCATACACTTCGTAGACACTTTTTCTCTTACATACCTCGCCATTTTTAAAGAACCATGGTGAGAAAGGTGAGCTTCAAGGACTGTCTGAAACCGTAGCTCACCACACATAAACGCCTAAGGGTGCATGCGCAGAAAAACATAGCTAACAGGACGAGCACGTAGGACAGCCTTACATAAACATATCACCAGAATGATTGACAATTAGGAGGACCAATTATTTAGATGATCCACCCGGAAATAAAAGATCATCCTCTATACCTTTAAGTGATGCCGTTACTCCCAACATAGATATTGAACATACCTGTGGTAACTATTAGCAGATTAAAGGCTAATATGTTATTCTGCTTGAACAAAGGGGGGTTCCAATGATGACGCTCTTTATGATCGTTTTCTCTGAGTCAACATTTCTTGACCTAATATTTGATTAGAACTGCCCAACATTGTCTGTCCCAGCGGTATAAACACAGCCCTCTTTGTGTGTCCTTCCAACTGAGAACATCTACCCTTACAGGGTAGAAGCTCGGCACTCAAGCTGTCTTAAGCTTTAGATGTGAGTAAAACAATTACATGGGCTTAAATCAGCCAGTGGAAGCCTGGAAGCCTACCTCACCGTAAAAACTAAAGAGAAAAAAACAAAACTGGCTTTCCAAAATGAACTCTTTAATTGGAAAATGTGGAATATTTAAAATGTTTTTAAAAGGGAAATATTTTTTGCATGTTGTTACCTACATTGATGGATTTCTAATTTAAAAACAGAATTTAAAAAGACTTTCAGCTTAAAGTTATTGTGTATTTCCATATCTGTTAAGCATAAAAGTGTCATATTCCTTGCTTATGTAGATACAAGGTAATATTTGCATTTGAACAATGTGTTTTTTCTAACTGGAAGGGCTATTAATGTTTGTGTGGTGATGCAGAGAATCTGTAGAAACTAAAGATTAAAATTATATTTGACTTGCCATTTCTAAATGAAATGCAAAACAGGTTTTAAAATAACGTACCTGTTAAATTTAGTATTTGCTTGTTTTTCCTTTTTCCTGTCTGAAACAGAAGTCTAAATGAGATTAAAAAAAAAATAGATTAAGACCTACTAGTGATTATATTAAATTGGGTAAATGTGCTGTGTGTTATTTGTGTTTTATAGCAAATATACTCTTGTCACTGTTCTGCAATATTCTGGAGGAGTTTAAAAGCATTTGGTCACACATACAGCAGTCATATCTGCCATTGTTTCATTACAGAATGTTATGCTTGCAAAAACACACACACATATCAGCATGTCAAACTAAGCTGAAGAGAAGCTGCTACTGTAGCTCTTTAATCCATTCTGAGTCTTAATGCATATTTCTACCTGAGCATTTGCAGCATCTTATACTGTAAGATGCACAAACATGAGAATTAAAGATTCTTTTTTTCTATGATTTATATTTAATATCTATGCTTTAGCAGCTGGTTGTTTTTTTTTTTCCATTTCTTATTTTTTTGTTTTGGCATCCTTTCTTCAGGTTTGATGCCTGTAGGATGGATATGACGTGTGCTCGGAACTGGGCCAGAGACCCCAGGGGACAGAACTGCACTGGGACCTGTGTTCAGTATCAGCAGGTAAACTGAATCCTTGCACTTTTGTCATTTCCTTTATAATTATCTATTGACTAATGAATACACACTAATATATTCAAAGTGACGGTCCTACAGACAGGTTTTATGTGTCACCGCATCACAGTCCAAACACACACCAGAAAGCTCTACCACTGTTTCTATTACTATTACTTGTACTTTGTATGTAATAGTTTCTCTCTTGCAGAAGAATTCATACCCCTTAAAGAATAATTTTTATCCTTGTCATATTTTTTTGTATTTGCACTGCATTTAGTTTCATTCCTCTCCCCATCACCTTTAAACTGCATGAAAAAATGCCGCCTCCATTTTATATCACTACAAAGATGCAGAGTGTATCCTCGTGGTGGCATACAGCATCAGTTTTCCTGTAAAGCTAATATTTTTCCATGTAAGCAGAAAAGCTTATTTGTGGTCTTCTGACGAGAGTCTTCCGTATATTTGGTGTGCTCCCTGCATAGATGGAGACAAACTGCAAATTGGGGAGTTTCAAGTAATTTTCAGCAACAATTTTTTGTGGCTGTGAGAACTGAAAAGATTCCTTGACTACTTTTGCAGAGCACTGTAAATTTCAAACAGACATAGTCTGTCCAGCTCTTTTAGCATCAGCTGAAGCTGAAAACACCTCAGCTGAAACCTTCAGACTGAATAAAAACCACTCAGTGGCTGGAATCCCTCTGATTCCCCTATATTATCCTCCGTCTTCTGCAGGTAGACAGTTTGAATCTGCGTCGCAGTGTGTTAGCGGCTGAGAGAGGGGGTTAACAGTGCAGGGCAACACAGTGGGCTGGAGCGTGAAAGAGTCTGGCCCTGCTTCGCCAGGCAGGGGCCAGCTGGGTGATTTGAAAAGAAGCGTGACAGCAGAGACTGGTGTGCGGCCGAGGCCTGCAGCAAACTAACTCTCACACATCACACCCCATGACAATCTGTCTCATAATGCGCCTGTCTGTCTCTCTGTTTCCACTGCCCCTCCTTATCTTTTTCATCCTCTCCTCAGTTATCATAACGTTCTTACACACAAATGAATGAGCACACACCCACAGACCACAGATCTAATAAGGCTGCCTGCTGGTTATTAGATGATAAGCAGAAATTGCAAAGTGTATTAAGGGCGACAATTCAGAGAGAAGATCTTTGTGCTTCTGTGGGTGTATTGTCTGCATATTTCTAGGGCTTTGTGCGATCGCCTTGGCCTGTGTTCATGTAGGGCAACGCTAATGCTGCAAAAAATGTAAGCCTGTTTTGCAGAAATGTTCTAAATAGGAAAATGCAATTAGAAAAATCTAAAAGCAGTCAGACAATTTAACAGATCACATCCCAAGAGCATTTTGTTTTTTAAAAGGGTCACATTGGTGCCGGTACATAATTTCTGTCCTGGCAACAGAGATATAGGGCTAAGCTTACCTGATATGTGCCGTGCTGCAAAGCAAAACGGCAAGGATAACATCTGATGATGTGTGCAAATGTATGATTGAACAGCAAATATGCATAGATGAAAGCAGGATGTGTGAATGCAGACTGTGAAAGATGTCAGTATGAATTCCATCCAGTTTTCACATCTTAAAGCACACCTTTGAAATGAAGCTAAATCTCTGATGCTCTCTGCTTCACTCTTTTCTTTCTAGTTTTTTTTTTTTTTGTTACCTTCCAAGGTCTTCTGTTAGAGTTAGACACTCAGTGCCTCTGATTGTAATGGAGACAGGTAAGCACTGGAAAAACAACACATCACTGTTCTGCACTCAGACCTCCAGAGCTACATTTGTTGCATTTGGCTGAAAATTATCACAACAGGACCTATATTTCATATATAACAAGAAGTAGAAAAAAAGTAGAAGATTGCAAAAGTATTCCTTCTCCTTGAACTTTTCCATGACATATCCAAATGGAAAACTACTAAGACACAGATGTCTACCTAATGTTGCACAGCAATAATCTCATCAGAAGTTAGGTTACTAATAGCAAAGGATCAAAGCTCAGGTGGGGAGAATCTGGTGATAGAGCAGCTATTGGTGTTGGGCTCCATCAAAATTAAAAACAAGCCATTGTTTGAAGAAGGCTGCAGTTTGGAATTTGTGACAAAAGCCATTCAGTCACACTGAGAATATGAGAAAGAAGGTGCTCTGGACAGATAAGCCAAAATGGAACACTTTGGCCTCTTTGCTCACTAAAACAGCCCTTTGCCCTAATCACTCCATAAGAAAGTAGTGGCAGTATGATGCTGTGGGAGGGCTTCTCTTCAACAGAAGTAGAGAAGCTGGTCTGAGTTGCTGGGAAAATCATAAGACCTAAACCTATATAGAGTGTTAAAGGGGACAAAATTAAATAAAATTATTTCATGAAATACATACCTACATGTAAATGTAAATAAATGTTTCATTTAATGTCCTGAACAATTAAATGTATCATTTATTTAACAAATAATTTGATTATTGAAGATATAAAATGTACCATAATATAAATAAATGTATTAGTAACTATTCCATTAAATAACCATATCTACTATTGATTTTTAAGTGCCTCATGAAGCAAATAAATGCACCATAAAATTATTTAATGTAAATTTAATAATAGAAAATTCCTTTTCTAATTGTGAAATTCAAACAATTATTAATTTTTTCTTCTTTTCATCTTTCTCATTCATCTTTCTTACATTTAATAACATTGTATTATTTCACACTGTATCTATTTATTTTATGACATCTGTCCTGCAGATGCATTATGGAATTATCTAAACTGTCAACTTCCTCTATCAAACTCAATGGGCGGGATCATTGTGGCTCCTGTAGAGACTGATTGGCTGCTTCACAATCAGCCACACAGAAAAGCTTTTTTTCTTGTTTGCTTTGAGTCTGAGGTCAATATTTTTGCTGAAAAGTGCTTCATTAAGTTTTAATGATTTAATGGGATATTTCACAGCACACCTGTTCATTTAATGCTACATTTAAATGTTTCATTATGAATTAACATATAAATGGCACATCTGAATTTTTGATGGAAAATCTAATGCAACATTTATTTATTCTATGACTTTTTTCATGTTGTTTATTTTCAATATATATTCATCTGTTTAATTTTATCCCCTTTAATCCTCCATAAATGCATAGTAAGGTTGATAGAAACCCTAAATAGACCATAAACATAGAACCAGTTACAATGTAATGGTTGAAAGCAGAGAGCAAACCTTTAAAAACACATACTTAAAGAAAATCATCAAATATATTGCATACAGTTGACATTCTAGCTTAGAATGCAAGAGACTCTTCACCAACCTCGAATTCAAAAGTCAAGATGGCTGCCACATGTATAAAAAGTGTCTATAGCTGCCAGAATACACTGTTTTGTTGATGGCCAAATGGTTTGTATGATAATAAATTAGTTACTTGAACATAAAGTTAGAAATTGGGAAAAAGGTGCTACAATGTTTGAGTAAATAGAATTCATTGAAATAAACAATTACCAGATAATACTGCTTTTAGTCACTAAACAAAACAGTTAAAAACTCCCACGGGTTTAGAATAGAATAAAATAGAATAGAATAGAAAATCCCTTTATTGTCCCACAATGGGGAAATTCTGGTGTTTACAGCAGCAAAAAGATTCTAGAAAAAAAGTTCACACAAATATGGACCTTAGAAATGTGTATAAGAATAACATAATAGTGAAAAGGAATAAAATACTTTACTATGAAGTGTTTTAACAATACAAAACTGCCCCTTGGAGAATAAATAACCAATATCCAGCTATGGACATTTTTACAGTGATGGATAATTGAAAATAGCAGCAACATCAGAGATGTGCAAAATGACAGAAGCATGTTATTTAACTGACTAAGATAGAAACTGTGCAAAATCAGCATGAATGTAAAAGCCTATTGAGGTTATTGGGAACAGTGGTGGTTATAGAGTCTTACAGCAGCTGGGAGGAAGGATCTGTGATAATGCTCCCTGGTGCATTTAAGGTTCAGCAGTCTGTCACTGAAGGAGATTTCCAGCTTATATCGAGAATATGGTTTAATTCTACCTGAGATAAATAGAATTAATCATGCATCGTAATGAATGATATTTCGTAACTAATTGTATTAAATGTGTACAAAATATTTAATAAGTCATTGGAGGGGAATGGAGCTTGGAATCCTGAGGTTCTGAGTTCAAGCCCCACTCCCACAGACTGCCACTCTGGGTCTCTGAGCAAGACCCTTAACCCCACACTGCTCCCCGGTCGCCCCACGATGGCAGCCCACTGCTCCCCAAGGGGATGGGTTAAATGCAGAGGTAAATTTCTCCCCTGTGAGATCAACAAAGTTCAATTATTATTATTCTATACATTGTAAAGTGTTCATATTTCAAAATAAAACAGGATTAAAAGCAATAAATACATTTTCTAAATATTTAAAAATCATTTTAAAGAAAGTGTGTTAAAGTTGTTCTTTTTTGTTTACTTCTTCAGTTTCTTTCTTGGCGTTCTGTCGACGGTTTAAGGCTGTTAAGGCCAGAATTAAGTAAGATAAGAAAAGGAAGGACAGTGTAGCCCTGTGGGGGAAAAAAATCTCTATCTCCCTTATTCAATCACAGCATGTCGTCTCTAGCTACTTGGGCTTGTACTGAATTAAGTTTGGCAGCAAACCGTGCCCGCCCCAGGGAGGGCAGAAATGTTTGTGTGTGTGCGCCTGTGCTCTCGTGGGTATTATTGGGTCGATGCGATAAGACCACAGTGTCAGGCAGAGAGCATATGTAGTTAAGAGACACAGCCATCATCCTTTTTGTCCTTCAAACACAGTAAACATACCTCATCGTTTTTTCTCCTTTTAATCTTCTCTTGAGCACGGTCAGTGACTCTCAGTCCTGCAGCAGGAAGAGGGATGAAAGGCGGTGTTACTTGTTGGTGGGGAAAGCAATGGACTTGCAGGGAGACATGCAGTTAGCAGGAAATGATTAATGCAGGCGGGGATGGGCAGCGGCACTATATGAGGTGATGACTTGGCATTCT